GAGAGAGAGAGAGACAAAACAAATGCGTCAGGCCCGCCGCGTCAGGCGCGTCAGACAAAAGAAAAGAAAACTAAAAACAATAAACAAAAATCACCGCAACTCGGAAACCCCCACTCGATGGCCACTACAGGCTACTTTAAAGGATTCGAACGCCCGACCTCTTTTCCCAAAAGTAACGATAAAAGAAAGCAAAACTCAAAAAACAAAACGAAACGCTCGCCCGAAACAAAACAAATGCGTCAGGCGCGTCCGAATTTAACATCGGACGTCTCACGCTAAGCGATGCAAAAGCACTAACGTGGACCATCACAGAAGCGAGAGTCACCCCGCGGCCTACTAAGTTTTAGTAGGGTAACACTAGGGTTATTATATATGTATATATATATACATATATATAACATATCTATTTGACAAGATATATATACTTATACATATATATAGATAAACTATATATATATATATATATATATCATCAAACAGAGTTGTCCAGTAAACCGTAGGCAGAGAGGTGTTTATATATATGTATATATATTATATATATATAGTCAAACAGAGCTGCCCAGTGAACCGCAGGCAGAGAGGGAGAAGAGGACAACAAACGAGGGGCTGTGACAAAGTGTTTCGTCAGAGTTCCACCGACTCATCAGGAGGCTGAACCCAGGCTGAACCTATATATATTTGACGATATATATATATATATATATATATATATATATATATATATATATATTGTTGTCCTCTTCTCTCTCTCTGCCTACAGTTTACCGGGCAGTTCTGTTTGTGATGATATATATATATATATATGGTCACCAGCCCATATGTATGGAGGTCCCCGGGCCGACCTCCGTACATACGGGCGTTTGGGGTCTCGTTCGGGGTCCGAACCCGACGGTGTTCGGCCCCCGCCAAAAAATATTTCGGGGCCTAAAAATAAGTTGTTTTTTCTGAATTTTTTTTTTTGTGAGTTCTCTGTGATGTGAGGTACATGCATATAAATTTTGAAGTCATTTTGCCAAGCCAAACAAAATTTATAAATCGCCAAAAAAATTGGAACGATACAGAGAAATTAGCATGAAAAGAAAAAACAAAACGTGCTCGCCCACTCAATATTTTATTCTTTTTTTACTTTTTACTTTTTGTTTTCACTTTATTGCGGGGCCTAAAAGAATTTATTATTTTTTGAAACTTTTTTAATGAGTTTTGTATTATGACATAATTATGTGAAGTACACATCTGTAAATTTTCAAGTCATTTGGCTGTTCCAAAACAAATGAAAAATCGTCAAAAATGACAGTGTTGAAAACGTGCTCGCTCACTCACTAATTTTAATTCTCTTTTCATTTTTTCTTATTTTTCTTATCAGTTCTTTTTTCTGTATTTTATTTTATTTTTTCAAAATTGGTAAGGAATTTGGATGTAATGCTCAGGCAAATGTTGTTTATTTATTTATTTTTCATAACATATTTTTTTTTTCAGATTTGTTTGAACTTTTTTTTTTTTTTTTTTTTTTTTTTTTTTTTTTTTTTTTTTTTTTTTTTTTTTTTGGGTCCACGTTCTGCCCAAACTGCCGAACGCATCCCCAAGGGGTCCCATACGTTCGGGTTAGGGCGTTCGGCCCGTCCCGAAAGCCGGTTACCCTTTGTATATATATATATATATATAGCCCTCGTTTGTTGTCCTTTTCTCTCTCTAAGCCTAAGGTTTACCAAGCAGTTCTGTTTGTGACGATATATATATATATATATATACATATATACATGTTCAGCCTACTGATGAGTAGGTAGGTGAAACTCCGACGAAACAGTTTGTCACAGCCCCTCGTTTGTTGTCCTCTTCTCCTTCCCTCTTTGCCTACGGTTTGCCGCCGGCAGCTCTGTTTGACTAGATATATATATATATATATTTTATTATATATGTTATTATACTTATATACATTGTTATTTGTCCTCTTCTCCCTCTCTGCTTACGGTTTACCGGGCAGCTCTGTTTCACTATATATATATATATTTTTTAATTATATATGTTATTATACTTATATATTGCTATTTGTCCTCTTCTCCCTCTCTGCCTACGGTTTACCGGGCAGCTCTGTTTGACAATACATATATATCGTCACAAAGTTATCAGACCACAAAAGCGAAAAAAACAAAGGGAACAAAAAAGATATCAATTCATTTTTTATCTTCTTCCTTGCAACTCCCCCTGTTCAGAACCTCTTGCGTACAAGGCCGCCCATGTGGATGTGGTTGAGCGGCGGCTGCCCCCACCCCCTTGTGCCATATCGACCCCCTTGCACACAGCCAAAAGGCAAAGAGGTAAAGAAAAGAGGAAGGGAACAACCAACTATAACAAAACAGGGGGCATATATAAATATATTATATATTTCAGTTGGTCACATTTTAACCAAAATCCTGCATTCTCTTGATTGCCCCGAAAATTACGTGCCGAGGGCACCGAGCCACTTCCCATTTACGGATTTACCTTCCAGTGGATCTCCTGCCCACTTATGACCAGAGAACTAATCCCCAGCTGCCAGCGGCTATCCTCAGTTTGCAGCATACCCGTAGAATTTACTATCCCACTGTCATATAGTGAAACGGTTTTCACCTTTTAGCAGTGGCGGATGCAGTACCCAGGGTTCGATCCCTAGACCTCACCCTACCCATGTACAGTATYTGTGTAGACCCCGAGAATTGAACCTGTGACCTGTGTATTCGTAGGCAGTTGGTAGGCCTGTCGTAGGTCCATAGGCAGCAGGGGTTCGATCTGTAGGTCTAAGGCGCAGGAGTCTTAGTGAGTTTCGGAAGCTTAGTTGTAGACATTCTAGAAGGTAGGTGAGTGGGCAAGTGGAGAGGCAAGTGGTGGACTAAACCGCAATGCAACAGCAGTACAACGTCGGTAGGATAGCGGTAAGTCCACAGTCAGTCAGTGGAAGGTCCAGTCAGTCCCAGTCCGGTCCAGCAAGTACCACGGGGGGACTGTGAGCACCAAGGGCCGATGGCAAAGGGCAGACCAACGAGTTTCTGAAGTATAAATCAGCGACTTGTGCAAGGAGGTCTGCAGATGAGCCCGGAGGACGCAGTGGGCAAGAGAGAGGGAGTTAGCATAGCGATAGGTTAGATGCAGCGATAGCTGCCATAGCTGTAGTTAGTAGTGAGTGTGTATGTGTGTTCGAGTGTTAGAGTGATGCGTGTGGGATATCCARGGTGATCCAGTGTATSTGAACARTRAGATGTTTGGGCGCTGAAGTCGCCATAGCCAATTGAGAGTAAACTCGTATCTGAAAGCCATATCTCTGAGTTTTGAGTGGGCGCATGTCGCCAGTAT